TAAAATAATTTGGATTCTTAATAAGATAAGTCAAAGTATGTTTGTTTATAACTCAGGCATTAATGGGCGAAAGGTTATTTCGCCCCCATATTTTTTCGCCCTTTATTTTTTCACCCCCACTTTTCATTTTTATTTCAATAAACAATTGAAATTTTGTAATTTTAATTGAAATTGTTTTTCGTTTTTATAAGAATGTTCTGTGTATTATTTATAGTAAAATTTTAAATTAAAATGAAAAAATAGCGTGTTTGATTACTTAAGTTGAAAATAGCATTATATAAAAACGATTATTGCAAAAGAACGAGAAAACGTTAACAAAAGCAACTAATCGAAAACTCCATGTAAATAATTATATTTGTATTTATAGTTATATTATGAAATGGCTAAATGGTTTTATTTAATATTCACGAAGCTTTTGATTCAATTTCAAACCAAATACTTTCCAAAATTATTAAATTAATTTATTTATAATGTTTAGTGTAAAATAATACAAATAATAATTAAAAGTTATATCTATTACTTTAAAACCAAAATTTTATATGTAACATATGTATATATAATTATGATATATTATACATGTGAATTTGTAAACTTAAAAAACATTAAAAAGAATTTGTTTTAAGTGTTCTTTTTTGTTTTTAGATTTGTTTGTTAATGATTTTCTTTTCTTGTTTTGAACCATTCTATTTTTTTTAATTTTTTTTGAATCTGAAATTCGTTTCTTTTAACTGGATGTTTTTTCTTTTTAGTAAGAAATGTTTTTTTGATCTTTTGTTGTATCACACACGACAGCTGAACTCAAAAACATTTCATTGTCGTTTAGCAGGTTGTTTTGAATTACTTTATTTTCTGGTATATCTACACTTATTGTTATTACAAATTATAATTTATATTTTTATATTTTTTAATTGTCAAAATGTAATTTATTTGAATAATTAAATACAATAACAAACTTATTATCTCTTATAACGTTATCGTCATATTTTGTTTGCTTTTTTGTCCACTCTTTTCAGAATCATTTAAATAAGGATCTGTTGTTTTTGTTTTGACGAGTTCTTCAATTAAAGCATTTTCCTCAGCAACTTCATCTTCAATAATCTTAGTTTCAGTTATAAAAATAACATCATTTTGTTTACTCCCAAGTATTACAGCACAGTCTTCCAAAAACTGTTTGGTTGTGATGGGATGAAGTCCTTTTAATTCGGCTTGTTTTTCTTCGAGTGTCACATTTTTATCCAACATTTTCGTAAATGGCCTCTTTTTTCCATATATTTTGTATACCTGAAAAAACGCAAATCAATTCTTTTTTGAAACTTTTTTAATTTTTTCAAAAATGAATGGATTGAAGGATGTGTTGTTTCAACAAAACGATTGAGTGAAGAGTGAAAGCTTTTTGTTCTATTATTTGTTCTTTCTGCCATCCCAAAAAGACACCAAAAGCTAATTTTAAACACCCTCAATATAATTTTTCCTAAAATAATATTTTTATTACGTCATTGTCATCTTTAAATTCAAATACCATTTCTTCAAATGCATCAGAAATTATCTTTTCTGGTAAATAGGCCAAAGACATTAGCATTTTAACTACCATTTTAAAAATATCACCATCTTTATAACGGTCAGAAAACCCAAGTGCTTATACCCTTCTGAAAATTGATTGACAAAAATGAAAATGGCAACCTCTTAAAATTGTGTCATTTCCAAAAATTTGTTTGAAAAACAATTTTAAAATCTCTTATTACAATTTTGTTTTCATGGAAAATTTTCGATTCACACGTTTCTTCAATTTTATCTTTTTAAATTTTTAGCGGTCATTAAACAATAAAATACAGGAAAACTTTGACCATTTTGCATTGCATGTATGGTGTAAAGTTGTGAAAATAATTCTGTGAAATAAGTTATACAAAATATTATGTTTTTTTGCAAACAAATATAATTATACAATTTGTTATTAATAACATTTATTTAAAACAAGCTTGATAAACACAAATGTTTGATGATGTTAAAACTAACAAACTGGGACACGATTTGAAAGTACCGTCAATAAACAAAACATTTGAACGTTTGACAAAATCAAAATATTCTTTCGCGCCAATTATTAAAACAAATTCATCTTGATATAACAACATTTCCTTTTCTTCTTCTGTTAAAATTATAGAAGAGACGTTTTTGGGGTTGGGTCTATTTTTGAAGATGTTCAACTATTCCCACACAAACCGAAAGTCGTTTTGAAGATCCGTGAATATAAGCCTCATATCCTGTTTCAATTGGACTTTTTAAAGTTCCAGAATCTGTTAATGATTGTTGTTTTAATTTTAAATATAATAGATCATCCCAATAATCTGTTGTATTTAGACCATGTATTGTTTTCTTCCCCCGAAACTCAATATTTGTTATATGTCCATTTTTGTCTTTGAAACAATAAATAAGTTTACTACACGTTTTACACCTGAAATAATCTCGTGAAGTAGTTTTGGGCCAATATTTGTAACCAATAATATAAGGCAATTCCATGTCTCTATCAGATTTCTATATCGCGAAATGTGGTGGAGCAATGGTATTAAATTGTAAT